GTATCAGTAACTTGTAGAGCTCGTTTCATCGTCGATTCGGCGGGATATATTGGCAGGTAAGGACATTAATTCAGCCTGCCTACTTATCTCCGACTTTAATCAAAGTGCGACTCATCGTCACGTTTTCGTCGGAGTTGAGGTTTTCACATTGCGTGCCCCTACGGATAACAGACTTTCGCGTTCTATGTCCATTTCCAAATTTATTTTGGCCTTTGCCATCTACAAAAACGTGATGTGTGAAGCCTATCCCACACGCCGGCAGGAACTTGATGCTTATGAACGCGACATCGTCGAAATGAGTTCGTGGTGCGACTTTCTACCAGTATCAACGTGAATTCTCTGGGAGAGCCGCGACTCTATTGTTGAACCATAACCTGAAAGTGGACTGGTCGCGTCATGACAGCCAACTTTACTGCCCTATTTTTGCCTGATGTCGCGCTATTTCCTGTTCTACTTGTGGGGGTGTTGGTCATTCTGCAATTTCTTGCCCTGATGCGTCAAGGAGAGTGTCTAAGCAGAACACCCCACTGGCCGCTGGCAATAACAATACACTCGACAGAATGGGTCGACGACGTGTGACCTTCCAGGGAAAGGAACTGTGTAATAATTTTAATTCGTCGAAGGGATGTAGCAAACTAAACTGCATCTTTGCTCATTTGTGCTTGTCTTGCCATGCCAACGACCACTGTGCTATCCAGTGCCAAAAGAAAGACAACCTGAAGCAAGTTTGACTACATTCAGGGGTGTCTACCCCAGTGAACATTTCAAGGCTCCAACATGAACTTTTGAACCACCCCGACTCTATCTTCGTATCCTACTTGATTAATGGCCTGACTGAAGGGTTTGATACAGGCGTACGTAATCCGCCTACTACCTCTCTGGTGTGTCGTAATCTTTCATCTGCTCGCAATCAACCAGACATTATTTCAGAACTCGTATAAACAGAGGTCGACAAAGGCTATTTAATGGGTCCTTTCCCGACTCCCCCCTTTACACACTATCGATGTAGCCCTATTGGGGTAATGGAAAAGAAATATTCTACAAAAAGCGGCTTATCGTCGACCTGTCTTCTCCTCGTGATTCAGACATACCAAGTATTAATGGACTCATTAACAAGGAGGACTTTTCACTCACATATGTGAAAGTAGACGACGCTATTGCAGCGATCAATAAAGATGGTGTTGGAGCCATGTTATGCAAAACAGACATTATAAACGCATTTAAACTCATTCCGATCTTGTGGCGTTTATATGGAATTTATTGGCAGCAATCATACTATTTCTTTGTGCGTCTGGCCTTTGGTTGTCGTTCAAGTCCTAAGATTTTTGATCACTTGTCATCTGCGATTTGTTGGATCACAGAAACAACTATGGCATCAAGACTATTTTCCATTTGCTGGACGACTTCCTCACCGTTGACTTGCCAAATGCCGACGCAGAAAGAACCATGGCACTCTTGACTTTGATTTTTTAAAACGTCTAGGCGTACCACTAGCACCTCACGAAACAGTATGCCCTAGCTGCACGATCGAGTATTTAGGAATCGAGTTGGACATGCAACACTGCATGCAAGCACGGCTTCCCATGGACAAATTAGCTCGCATCCGAGAAATGTTACTTACATTTATCAACCAACAAACTTGCACAAAGCGCAACCTTTTGAGTCTGTTAGGCCATTTGAATTTTGCCTGCAGAGTTATTGTTCCTGGTAGAACTTTATTTCTCGTCTCATCGAACTTTCAAAGGGGGTCAAGTGCCTTCATCACTTCGTCACCCTGTCTACATTATTGCACTCCTGTTAATGTTGTTAATTTACTGGAACCTAAAACAGAAAAGTATCAGTAACATGTTGCTAATTTACTGGAACCTAAAACAGAAAAGTATCAGTAACATGTTACTAATTTACTGGAACGTAAAGCAGAAAAGTATCAGTAACATGTTACTAATTTACTGGAACGTAAAACAGAAAAGTATCAGTAACATGTTGCTTATTTACTGGAACCTAAAACAGAAAAGTGTCATATTGTTTCTAATTCTATGGAAGCTAAAACAGAAACGTATCAGTAACTTGTTGTTGCTACTATCCTTGAACCTAAAACTGTTTCTACTTACCATTTAACCATCTTGAGTCATGATCCAGTGTTTTAAGATCTGTGTTAAGCGAGTCATCATTCTCAATACTACGGGCAATCACAGATTTCATTGCATCTGACGCCGTTCCTGCATAAAGGCTGCCATCTGTGGTGAGAAAAAAAGTGACTGCTTAAGTACTACCGTGCTATCAATTTTAAAGTTCCCATTCGGGCTAAGAGCCAATTCTAACAAAAATGCTCCACATTTGACTGTTTAGTCATTTAACCTGGTCTTTGAACATTGTTTTTTCCCAATACCGGTAATACAGCGTGGCTGTTGACCGCCGTGAATATGTGCAAATGAGTAGACTATGGTAACCATGCGTAAACTGTGTTTTGACAGTAACAGATGTGAAAGGCAGTAAACACTTCATTCCATATTCAGTTTATCTTATAATAATTTACATTTCAAAAATATTATGCCGTGTTTTGACGCAATTAAATCAAACAATTCACTTCCTCATTGCGTTACCAGACACCTTCGGGAAATCCCATAGAATTTACCTTTTCCAAAATTCCTCAAACGTTCCATTTTACCACCAGGAGTGGAGCCTGCGGCTTAATTTGACCCAACACGGGAAAACTCACCCGGCCCGGACACGGCGAGGATTGACAGATTGGGAGCTCTGTGTTTCATTCATGGTATTCGAATTGTACGAAGTTTAAGTAGACAACAATTAAATATGATGGCTACATTTATGCATGTGAATTAAATACTAACAGTTACATAAAACTGTCTGAATGTGTATAATGCCAGGACTAACTAGAACATTTGGTAAAAAAAACATATCACAAGTATGGTGTAAATATGACACAACTTGTCACGGCCCAACATCAACAAAAGCGACATAGTGCATATTTCTGTAGGAGTTAAAATAACAATGTTGACGCTCTTCAATGTTGGATTTCACGAGGATGACGAGGCATAAATATACAAAAATAACAATAGAAAAAAATGTAATTAAAATAAAATTATTAAAAGCATGGAACTTATACCTACATAGAATTTCAATAAGACTGGACACTGGCCTAACATGTTTTTATTCTAATGTCCTCCGATTGACATTCTGTTATACCAAACAAACCAGAATAAGTCGTACATCAAAATAATAGAAAGGGAATACAGTATTGAATAAACAGGTAAGGTAAACCTTACAGTTTAAGATTGTGTAAAATTTGTTGATTTACGAAAAACGTGTTCACATCGCTGCCAGGGATGCTCAAGCTAAATTGTATTTAATCTACACAGTGTAGTAAGCCTCGTTGTGGTTTTTGGCTTAATTACTTGTTCATATAATTAAATACACATGTTATGTCAGTGATCCAAGGTATCATTATTTCTCACTATAAATGTGATTTGCGTAAACAAAGAAGACATTTTTGTTTTCAATTTTATCGTAAGCAACAGGCAACATGCTTTGAAAAAAATGGCTGCCGGGACAGAGGTCAGATTAATTTTACCTTGAAATATTACAAATAAAAGTTAAAAATTAGAGTAGTTAAATCGTAACTACTATAATGACAAAACTTAATATTAATTAGCTCATGAAATTCTGATACTGAATCATTACTAATGTTGGAAATGAAACACATAAATTTGATTGGTGCATTGTGAATTGCTTAATATAAAGGGCACATCAAGATATATCCGACAATTAGCTAGGAATATACTTACATGCAAATATTGCAGTGTTGAGTGAACCTGGAGAAAACGGTGATTTGTATAATCCTGTAGTCTCTTTAAACTCTTCAGTATTTTGAATTGTCTATTAATAATCAATAAGGTATGATGTGGGTATAAATGAGAAATTTTTGCACCAATAAATATTAAGAGCTCTTGACTGTTCTACTGATCTATGCAACCATGGTAACGGACAGCGAAACAATTCCGTGTCAATTAAGGTATAGTTTGTGTGCACATCTTATTTTTCTTACCCAGACAGTCATGTCCAGAGACGGTTTGCATCGTCAACAGTAGAACATATTTTTACTTTTTTACAAAAAAATATAATATAATTATAATTTGGGACGTTAACAAGTATATGAGCATCAGCAACATTCTGAAAGAATGAACCATTATCTCCCTTTTTGTTTTTCAATTTGCCGGGACATTCAAATCGAAATTGCTCTCACAATTGTTGTTTATTTCACTATGTTTGTCAGTTGTTTATTAAAAAATGGGCGTCAAGCAAGATGTTAGCCGTATATTAAATCCCGGTCAGTATTTCACATATCGAATGCCAAGCCCGATGTAAAGACGTCAAGCAAGAAGCATGACAACCAGTGTTTGTTATTTGAGATGCGCAACGTCAAAAC